CTTTTAAGCGATTCTCCCAACAGTTTAAGCTCACTGAGCTGTTTTTCCTGCTAGGGAGAATGGGCACAGATCCAGTGTAGCTGATGGAGTTTTACTGAATTAAATTCAGAATATGACTCAGTATCTTTCAAATAGAAATAAATCCAAAGCATGTCATGGATTGAAACATGTCAATTAAAATAAAAAGTGAATAATAAATATATTTGTCTCATCTTTCCAGAAATGCCCAGATTTTGCTCCTAAAAAGTATTCTGCAGCAACATCACAGGTATCTTCCTTCCTACAAAGAGAAGTTCGTTTTGAGAAGTTATTTAAATTTTGGATTAAACCAGAGTAGCAAATACTGGGTGGAAAAAGTACATAGGTGATATTTTTCCACGGGCAAAACTGCATAGCATCAGTAACAAAATACAGTCCATGGTACTATACATTAACAGTGTGCGTTTATCTATATCTTCATTTGCACTGCTAAAATATGTATTATTGTGCTAAGTAGCTACATAAATTAGCTGAAAAATCATTTTCCCTTTCCCTCCTCTGAACTGTTCATTTATTAAAATTCTAAAAACTAAGTCATCTTATGTTTTTCTATAAAAATAAAACCCGAAAGCATGCCTGCGATAAAGTCATGTATTATCCTTACAAGTAGATATATCTTTGCTTCATCTGCATCCATAATATGGCCGGTTTCAGTATAGCTGCTATCATGAATTATGGAGCACGCTCCTTGCCTCCATCAGGTTGTAATACAAGCTATAATTATAATAAAGGCTACAGATAACAAGCTTTTCTCATAACACTGCTTGTTGTGTTGTGTTTTCTTTTCATTCTAGCTAAAATTGTCTACATAGTTGATAAAAATAATTTAAAAAAAGAGTTCTGAAACCAGTCCTGAAAAGGTACGGTATGTACACAGCTTCACAGTAACCTCAGATTCTGCCAAATACAGAATATTCATTTCCATATTCTCTTCCGCCGCTCCATTTCTTTAATGGAGTGACAGGAGCCGCAGGTCTGTCAGGGTTTCTCCCACCGCAGCAGCTGACGATGCTCAGCAGCTTCTGCTGCTTCTGTTAACATCAATGTTGAAACCTCAGTTGGCTCTAATACCCAGGGCTAGGATTCTGAGGTTAGCAGGAGAGAAGAACAGGTCTCCTCTAACGCATTTCTCAGGGCTGGGAAGGACAGAAAAACGACTGGAGTCTGGACCTCAGCTTTAAACTCTGACTTCCACATTTCCTGAGGAAGAACCTTGTGCAATTAACTTCTTTCAAGACTTTGGTTTGAACTATAAATACATCCCAGGGGAAATCAAAGATTACGGCAAAGCAGCACAAATGCCACAGAGCACTTTTTTCTACGGTTAATTGCAAACCCTTTGGTTATTGATGCCCTTTGGAATATTCTTCCTCTCACCCTCAGCTAACTTATTCTCTGCACCTCTGCCAAGGAAGACTTAAGAGTGCTGCCCACTCTGGACTCCTCCAGAATTTAATGAAATCATTTGGCCTCTTCCAAAGGACTCCTGACCTGACTTTGAATGCTGAGAAGGGGATTAATGAGACACACATGGAATTAGGGCAATGCCTACTAAAAGCAAAGCATCCTTTCCTATCAACCTCTTGGAAAACAAGGACTAGTTTCAGTATTACTTACATTCCTTGCATCGCTAAGGAAAATGGGAATGTCTGATCAGGCAAGGATGTTCATTTAGGTCTTGGACATGTATGAGGCCAACTTTATTTAACTGTCAGCTACATACTCAGCAAGAATTGTCTTCACCTGTCATTTAACCAGGAGAGAGAGGGTTGAGTGCTTCTTACTTTGGCCACTCAGATCACTCTTCCCACAGGTGCAGGTTCTTCTCAATCCTGCCAGTCACCAAACTACAGCAATGTCTCTTCTCTTTCAACTGTCTGAAAATACCCATCCTACTCCAATGCTCTCATGGAAAAGTCTACCTCAGCTTGAAGACTGCCTGCAAAAATAAGAGAAAAGATTGAAAGTTGGGCATTCAAGATGAGAACCAAAGAGCAGGCATGGGATTTTCAAAGGCAGCTGAGGAAAATGAATACCCAGCCTTTGAGGCAATTCAAGAGAAGTCGAGTGCCCATCTTCCTACAGCTCCAAGATCAAAGTGTATAAAAAGCTGAGAAACACCTCAAAACCAGGGGTATTCACTCTGCTCAGATGCTGAGACAGGCTCATTCAATCTATCACATTGAGTAGCCATGCTGGCCAACTATTCGTGTTTTATTTTGGACCTTTGAGGTGTGATCTCAAATTTCAATGTATATACCGTATTAAACCCACGTACTGGCATCTGAATGTGTGTTAGACATCATGTACATAGATTGAGACGCACATTTTAGCTAAGCTCCACCAATGCTAAAAGACATTGCAAAGCACCAGAAAAAGCTGGAAATCTTAAGATACACGGAAGTTTTATAGTTCCCTTTCCATTACACACGTGATATATTCAGCGGACCATCAGACACTGCAAACAATGCCACACACAGTGGCGATTGCCTCCTCTTCCTCCAAAAGAAGCCCTGTGCCATGAAGGTGCAGTCTTTACACAGGTACAGCTTACTAAGGGGCCAGTATACCTGTTTTCTGTCCATTTCCCTCTCTGTATAGCCCAAAACAGGCACAATTTTAACTCTAAGTCCCATCAACAATTTCCATTACACTAAACGCAATTAATAACCTCAATTACTTGAATTAAAAGCTTCAAGGTGAATCCCTTGTGAACTCAGATTTTCAGAGTGTTCTGAGGCATTCTTTCAAGCCTACTGACATTTTCATTATAAATGCCAGCTCAGAGATGATTTTAAAAAAAGCCCAACAACCAAAGATGCTGGAATTTAAAAAAAGAAGGCAAAAAAGCCCAATGAAACTCAACAACTTTGATCTCTTCAAAGGACTGGCGTCAAGCACCTTGATTTACAAACACAAATATGTTTGCATTTGATGTATTATTACCTAGAGATCATAATATCCTTTGCATTTTCTTAGAGGGTTGACAAAGATTTTAAAAAAATACACATTATGCATCCAAGTTTAAGAGAAGTGTCTGAAAGACAAAGGTGGTTTTGGTTTACGTTAGTTCCTTCATATCGCTGAGAAGCTCTGCTTTATAACCCATCCCGTTCCCCATGTACTGAGTGGCATCAGGAACCGGATAAAATGATTTAATTAGCACACAAACGTGCATTATAAAGCTTACAACTGTATAGATTTAGTTTGTTGCTAGTTTGGATTTGGATTTCACGACTGCAAATCCAGCGCTGTAGGTGTGTCAATCCCTACTCTCTCACAGTGTGAGCAAAGAGGTTTCCTTACTAGAAGAAAACTTCTGCAGACCAGGTAACAGTCTAATTCATTTATCATTTTACAATGGTGACACAGTGATTAATTTCCAGTTGAAATTCTTACTGAGAAAAAGCAACAGAAAACGAAGAAAATGGGGCAGTTTGAAAGCTAAGCAACAAAATTTCTGCATCAAAATCTGCATTTAAATTTCCAAAGATGAAGAAAGCTTGCACTACCTTTTCAGTTGCCTTCACTTCCCGAGGTTGCAGGTCCTTCATTTCCAAGGAAATAAAGGCAGAGTCAATTTACTAAAAACACAAATGGAAGATAAAATAACAACATACTGACAGAAAGCTGAGTGGATTTTGTCAAAGAGGTAAGGATTTATTTAAAACATCTTTTACAGAAAATTAAATACGTTTACAAACTTGATCAACTATTTCACCCAGATTTACATTGTAACATATTCCCCCCATGCAGTACAAACATACATATACAGTAATATTAGCATCTTCGTTCATGTATCATGTGGATATATTTCCTATGTATGATAATATATACAAAATAATCCAGAGTCCTGAACATCTCCATCTGCTGACAAGATTTTTCAAACCAAAGAAATATTTTTTCAGCCACTGCAATAAAGCTTTGTGGCAGCAAAATTTGAACCTGAATGTCCAAAACTGGGGCTTCAACTACACAGCCCAATCCAAAGTCTAGAAAAGACAATCTGACTCTTTTACTTACTGGCTGGGCGGATTAGTCTCTTAGAGCCAAGTTTTACCAGCACATGTCTTGATTTTTCTTGCAGGAGTAAATCCGATGGTACATGACCACAATTACTCATACAGCCAGAGCCTTAGAAGGACATATACATTATAAAACCATGGTCAACTAGTATTTTAGAGATTAATTTCAAATTTCATATTAGAAAAAAGAAAACAGTGACTTTTACTTCCTCTGCTAACAAAGTATGGTTTAAGCCTTAAAATATTTATTTGAAGAAGTCTATAGTGTGTAAATGTTTTCATTTCCCAACCTAATCCTTAAGAGTTTGTCATGGTTTAAGCCTAGCCAGCAACTAAGCCCCACCCAGCCTCTCACCGCCTTCCCCCACAGCAGGATGGAGGAGAGAATCAGAAGAGCAAAAATGAGAAAATTCGTGGGCTGAGATAAAGACAGTTTAATAGGTAAAGGAAAAGCCACAAACGCAAGCAAAGCACAACAAGGATTCATTCCCCACCTCCCATGGGCAGGCAGGTGTTCAGCCATCTCCAGGAAAGCCGGGCTCCATCACACGTAACGGTGACTTGGGAAGACAAACACCATCACTCTTAATGTCCCCCCCTTCCTTCTTCCCCCAGCTCTATATGCTGAGCATGACATCATACTGTACAGGATACCCCTTGGGTCACTGGGGTCAGCTGTCCCAGCTGTGCCCCCTCCCAACTCCTTGTGCCCCCCCAGGCTCCTTGCTGGTGGGGTGGAAAAGCTTCTACCTGTGTAAGCCCTGCTCCACAATAACTAAAATATCCTGGGGTTATCAACACCATTTCCAGCACAAATCCAAAACACAGCCCCATAACAGCTACTGTGAAGAAAATTAACTTGATCCCAGCCAAAAGCAGGACAGAGTGAAATATTTGTATCCAAATCATATTCATCTCTCCAGCTAAGTAAATCAGTCATGATGTAAACTGCTTCCTGCAGCTATTTTTCATGCATGCTGGGTTTGAGATTTGTAAGTTTGGAGTACTAAACTCAGAGCTATTTCTATTGGTAGCGCTGCGCAAACTAAACAAAGCTATAGAGTGCAAGAGCACTTCTCTGGCTTTTGATGTTTCTATTTTCTGCTCCTGTGATATCTGAAAGCTTATCTGATTCAGGTTATTCCTTATCAAACTGCAAGTGAGGAGGTTTGTTACAGAACCACACCTGGTCAAGTTTTCTTCAAAAAACTGTTTATAGAGCTCTGCCACTTTTGTTTCCATGTACTTGTTGAGCATGGAGTTTGAAAGAGGCTCCTCACCAAGCATGATACTCCTTTCTCCAGCTTCATCTCCAGACAGGGACTTTATACTTGGCTTTTCGGGATGCTCACATAGAGGGGACTGACCCAGAGGAATATCTACGGACAGTAAAACAGGGCCATCGGGGAGTTCGTCACACACATGGTCCAAAACACAACCCGAATCACATGTATGGTCCCCGACACGGTCTCCCCCAATATGTAAGTCAGGATAGTTTTGATAAATGCTGCAGCATGACCAGGATCTATACAAATCCATCTGTTCAGGGGTTTGTTCTCTTTTGGGGATATGTAAAGCTGGTGATACAGTTCCTTTAACAAGCATTTTCTGATTTTTTGCAGGTACCTCTTTTGTGGATCTCCATTGAGGACCACACCTGTGTTCCATTTTACTGCTTCTAGAAGAGATCTCATCCTGCTTCTCATGTCCATCAGCAAAGCCCTTCATTTTCAGGTTGTCTACAAGTTTCTGTCTCCAGATTCCCTCTTTATCCTTTCTGGATGCATGAGATTTGCGAGGCTTATCTTGGTGACAGCTTTCTTTAAATATGAGTCCAGTTAAGATGCCTTCTGCCAACATGACGACAAGTGTGAGTAACAGTCTAACCACCACGTGTAGTCCTGTGAGTGAAAGAAAGACAGGCAGAGTACCTCAAACTTATTTGGACAAAGAGGAATAATAAAAAAATGAATAATGCATTTTTCATAAAGACTGACTTTTTGTTTTTCTCTGGAATATTTATTTTTAGTAAACAGTAAACTGCATGCTTTTCTACAATTTTAACCTCTATACTATGTCAACAAAAATAATTCTGAAGATATAGGAAAGGCATTAACTGCATTCTTCATCTGCAATACCACTCCTGTTCCTAGGTATCTCTTCTGCATTGTGGCTAGTTGAAACAGATCGTACTTACAAGTTGTAAAAATTGGCAAAATTATTTTACTTGTCTATATCGCTACCATCAGTTGCAAATCAACATTTTCCACTGAAAAACAACAATTTCTACAAGCTGAAGAGATGACATAGGAAGGAAATCAAGATCAAATTCAGACTTTGAGGTTGATTCTGAATTGGCTTGAACCCTCCTGTGAGGTGCCAAGGAGCTTCAAAAGCTGACGATAGTTCTTCAAGTATCCTAAAACTGCATCCAAAATGCAGTTCACGTACACAAATGTTTTTAGAGTCCCTCTTAATGAGGATTTTAAAAGATATAAATACTTGTTTTCCTCATTGGCGAAGTGATGAGTAGTATTGTTTGTGTATCTATAGGCTCCACAGTTTTACTAAATGCACCTGAATAATTAAAAGCTAGCCAATGTCTCAAAATAATCTACTACATTTAATGATTCCTTATTGTTTCTTCTCAATTCACCCACTGTTAAAATCAATGGAAACCTTTCCATTTAGAGCTGAGTCTGACCTAAACTTACTAAGGAAAAGACCATCACCACTCCTCTTGCGGAGGAATGGGAAAGATGGACACAAGAAAATTCCTCTGTTCTTCAAATGTCTTAATGTCTGCATAATTCAAGTACCTTCACACACCTCTAGTGTGCTCATGGTTTGAAATAGAGGGGAGGCAAAGGATGAGGCAGTTTTACCAAAAAGCACATAGTAAGTCTCCCAGAGAAGATAATATACTGGCATGCTGTTTGAAATACACCTAAAACCTCCACTTACCTCACGGACAATTAAGGCTCAATACTTTTCACGGTGTTGGCAACTGACATCAGTAGTAATGCCATGCAAGTCACTACCTAGCTCTCCACACAAACAAAACAGCTGCAAATTTAATATATTTGACATATAACCAGAAAGATCCTCCTTGCTCTACTCGTTTGATTCCAACTATCAGCAACCAAACCATATACTCTGGCTTATTTGTTCTGCAACAAAACTTGATACACCAGGTCACTCTTTTTTTAATCCCAGAACTCCTCCTAGAATGCTATTCTAAAACACCAGTTACTTGAGAGATGGGAGTTTTCAATTTCCCTCCTAAATTTACACATTGCCACAGTACAACTGTTTTTTGGGTTCTTTTTCTTTTTTTGGCTTCTTTTTTATCTTGAATGGCACTGTTCCCTCCCTGAAGCTGAAGGTAACACTGGAACTGCAATATGCCTGCAAGTGAGAGCAAAGCAGACAAGAAAGGCAGTACACCATGCCTTCTCCTGGTTACATTAGCACAACTGTTTACTTTATCTACAGAATTATTTACATATTCAAAAAGCAGGACAACATTTTAAGCATTTATGGGACTTAGGAAACCAAATGGCATTTTCAAAAGAGACAAGAGTACTTGGCAGTCTAAATCTTGCTGAACCCTCATCAGAATTTGGAATGCTGCATGCCTCATTTGTTTCTGAAAAACAGGACACAGGTACCCAGATCCTTACATGCTACAAAATTTTGCTGTATTGCTTTGAAAGTACTCATAGTGCTAGTGTAGAGCTAAAATATGGTAATCTTAACAAAATTGCTCTCTTTCAAATAAAGTAAATGATGCCTGCATTCTGGAACAAAGCATAAGAAAAAAAAAAAAGGACAAAAAGCCCAGACTTACCAATCCGAGTCGGGTAAGAGATGCAGATAATCACATAGCCCACAGCCCTCCTACTACAGCTGCTGCAAGAGAATAGATTCGTGCATGCTCTTTCTTCACGACTGTCTATGTTTAAAAAAAAACACCTGACACACACATGATTTAGTTCCCCATTTTTTCTTTTTAAAACAGAAGTGATCCCACTGGAAAAGTGCACGGTTTTTGAATACAAAGTGAGAGCAGATGTAAAAGAGGATGTTAAAGAGAATTGAGTTCTTTCTGACTGTGGTGCAATGCTGATGGGTTGCTAACTGCCTTAATACGTCATTTAAAACCAAAGACTACTAAAGGATCAGAGTGCCCATACTTCACCAGGCTGTTCAAAACTGAAACTGAATTCCACCAAACGGTTCCATCTACAGAAGTTCAGTTTTGTTCTATCATCCACCTGACTTACAGAGGCGACGTTATTTACAGCATTTCCCTTTTTGAAACAAACAGCTAAATTTATAATCTTGTGACCTTCTAATGGGGAAGAAGTTGACAGCTTCATTTCACTGAGATTTTGATGAAATGTCATTTGTCTATAAAACACAAATACGCAAGTCTGCCTCTGAAAGCAGCAGCCATCAGACAGCTGGGGACAATCATGTCACTCACTGACCAAAGACACCTTCTCTGGGCTCAGAAATCACCTGTCTCAATGGCATGGCAGAGGTGCCCCCATGGTGTTTTTGGCATGTCCTTCTCACGTAGGCTGAAACCAAGCTCATGTGCTGAGCCACACAGCTCCCCCAGCACTAGATCCAGTCCATAGACAGTTTGAAGAGTTTTCTGTTGAGGAGTTTTCCAAATTACCTTTTTCTCTGAAGATAAAAATCAGAAGCTAAATCTCATCCAAGTACTAGACAAAAGATCTTAAAAGGACACTGTTCAGTGTAACAATAGTAGTGAGACACAAGTGTAAAAAAAAAAACACCGTAGTGTAAAGACAACATTACAGCAACATATTGATTGTACCTGTCATACAACAGGTTTGGGCAGTAAAATAATGACGCACCCTAGAAATGGACTAATATAAGGTTTGAAGTAACTACGACCATATAGGTCCAGTGGAGTCTCTTTAAAATTGCTCCTTTTCCCTCCTTATCACCTGTATTTCACAAGACTTTAGTTTTTATGAAGGCAGAATGAAAGCTATTTTTATTACCACTGAATTTCATATAAAACTCATTTCATATATAAAAGCTGTTCAAAATTACTTTCTTTTTACTCATCTTACATGACTAATTTCTTCATGGTAGATGTGGTCGTAACTTCAACCGAGTACTCCTGCCCCCAGTCTTGGAGAGCAGGAAATGGGGTGGTTCCAATTCCATGTAGTTTTAAACCTTGCCTCCTTCACTGAGCTTGTAATGAGGGCCAGCTGCAGCTGTATTTTTTGTGCAGCAGTTTCAACAGAAAACAAAAGTAACACAGAGAGAAGAAGAAATCAAGTTAGGTAATTAGTCTTGAGTAATTAAAAACAAGCCACCTTTTATTTCAGTTGTACTCAGGTGTCAAATGCATCAATATCCAAGGAAATTAATATATTTATATCAAAAAGATCTTACAAAAAAACCCCTTTGTTTACAAAAATAAAATCAGAACAAGACAGAACCAAAGTTATTTAAGAGGCTGAAAACAGACCACAGTTAGGAGCAACAGCCAGCACAGCAAGCACGTGTGAATCCCCAGGCTAAACTTAAAGCAGAATGCATAAAGAAAAAAAAAGTTTGACTTATTCATATATGGGAAAAATAAATAATACATCATTGTGTACTACCATACACAATCATATTACACAAACTATAGCAAAGTTCCTTATTTCAGCCCAGACTACATATATTGTGTACATAAAAAGTATGTAAAAAATATGTATATAAAATAAAAAAAAGACATTGGCTACATCAACCAGGATTTTTTTCCAAGCATAGCTGTTGCAAGTCTTTTGTTTTCCACCTAAACCAGCAGTACCTCATTTTAACAATCCCAACTTCTTTAAGTCTTCAAATACCTTCTTGCACAGCAGCTCCCCATTTACCCAAACATACATTCCAGCTCTTCGGTGACACCTTTTCTGACAGGCGCAATAAAACACCCCCAAAGCCACCCCAGGCCCCAGGGGAGGGCCCACACCCCTACACGGATGGGCCTTTCAGCAGCTGAGAGGCACTCACAGATCTGCGACACCAAAGCGTTTTTTCAGAAGCAAGAAGCCAAGTTTCACTACATAGCAACGGACAGCAGGCATGGGGAGGCCACAGGGGAGCGAAGGCAACCGGCGCGGCCGGATCAGAGGAGAGCTCGGCCCGCAGCCCAGAACAGACACCCAGAGCGGGCCCCCCAGCCCGGAGCTGC